ATGTAAGGAAACCCTCTGGGGGGACTTAGGGGACACCCACCCCGGGGACACCAGTGGGGCCCACATGGGGGTGGTTGATGGCACGAGGTGGTGCAGCTGGGGGGAATAAAATGGGGGAAGAAGAAACAAAATGGGAGGGCTGTGGGGTCCCAGCCTGGTGGGGTGGGGGTGAGGAGGCTGAGGGGAATGACAGCGCTGGAGCAGCAGGGTGGACAATGGGGATTGGGATAGGCTCCCTTTCAAAGCCATTCCCGCACCTCCTCTGCATAGGGGCACACAGGAGGGTCAGGATCCACACCGCCCCCTCCTCCCCGGTACCTCTGCGGGGTGCCCCCGGTTTGACGAAGTAGGGGAGCCCCCTCATGGCCCTGCGCAGCTCCTGCTTCAGGGCCAGCATGTACTCGCCCTCCTCGCCCCCGGGCAGGGGCGCGGCGCGGCGCTCCAGGGCCTGGGTCGGGGGCACGGATGTGATAAGCATGTCAGTGCTCAACCCCCGAGGGGCCTCCGGACCCCCAAAGCCCCGGAGGACTCACCGGGAAGAGGGGCGAGGGCTGCAGCGTGGGCGGGGGCAGCGCGTCCCCCTTGCCGATCCCCACGGCCTCCACGTTGAACGTCATCTGCCCCCGGCCCCGGCCGCGGCCCCGGCCCGCCATGCTGAGCCCCAGGGACCGCTGGGGACAAGGAGGGCACGGTGACACCTCCATCCAGCTCCCTCCTGCCCGGTCCCGGTGGTGCCCCAAGTCCAGTCCCCGTCCTTTCCCTCCTCCCCGCGGTCCCGCTCTCCAACCCAGCTCATCCCTCGGTCCGGTCACGGTGCCTCTCTCACTCACTCGATCCCAGTCCTCCCGGGTCTGATTATCCTCCGTCCCGACTCCTGGTCCCCGATCTGATCCCGGTATTCCCCCACAGTCCCGATTCCACCCCTTTCTTGGTCCCGGTGCTCCCCGGTGTCGGTTCTTTGCCCTCCCGAAAACTGGTCCCGGTCCTGATCCCAGTCCCGGTGTATCCCCCTGGTCCCCGTTCCCGTACTCCCCATCTCTATCCCGATGTCCCGTCTCCGTGCACCACCCAGTGTCGATGGTTCCCCCCCGTGGCCCCCGGTCTCTATCCCCGTTCCTGGGTCCTCCCGGTGGCCCTCCCGGTCCCGATGTCCCCCTCGTACCCCCGGTCCCGGTGCCGCCCCCCCGCGCCGCTCACACCGCGCGCATGCGCAGTCGATCCCCACGTGTACCCGCCCGCCGCTGCCCCGCCCCGCGCAGAGGGGGTGGTGCTTGGGCGCGAGCCCCGCGCTGATTGGTGGGACATATGAGGGGCGGGGCCTAGAGCGATATAAATGGATGGCCGGGGTGGGGGAGCCGGTTGGGAGAAGGGGGACCTCTGCTCCCCACGCTCTGACTCCCCAAGCCCCCTCCCCTGGGGTAGCTTGGCCCCCCGGTACTAGAGTCACCCTGGCCCCCAGCCCCGCTGTGCTGTGCCCCCAGTGCCGCTGCCCCACGGCCCCCAGCCCTACCGTTTTGGAATCCCCAGGACCGCCGCCTCCCGGCCTCCCCCGATGTCCGATGCTCCAGGGCCCTCAGCCCTCCTGCACGGCGACCCCCAGTCCCGCTTCCCCATGGCCCTCAGTCCTGCTGGACTGTGACCCCCCGTCAAGCTGCCCCACGGGCCTCCGACAGCCGCCTGTGCCCCCCAGTCCCCGGTCCCCTCTCCTCACTCCCACGCAGGGCCGGGCGCTGGATGCGTCGTGGGTGATTCATCTCGCTCCAGCCCCCCCGCGCCGGCAGCTGCCAAAAATAGCGCTGAGGGGGGGGGGGGACCCTCCACATCACCTCCCGCCTCCCCACCTTACCGGCGGCAGGCCCGGATGGCGGCCACGGGCCTCCGTCCCCAACACCCCCGTCCCCGGGGCCGTGGGAACCGGGACCCGGAGCAGAGGGACCCCACGCACCAGTTGCCACGGTAAAACTGGGATGGAGAGGGGCTGGATGGGGGATCCCCACTGCGGGGGACATAGTGCGGGGGGGGGGGGGGGGGGGGGGGGGGGGGTGGTGGTGGGACAGCCCCCAGGCCCGGGCTCGGGGATGTCTCGCTGAGGGGACTGGGAAGGTGGTGGATTCTCCCCCATTTTCCCGGCTGGTCGGAGCAGGATGAGCGGCCGTCGCCATGGGAACCGTGCAGGCAGGGATGGGGTGTGGACAGGGATCAGGGTACCGGCAGAGATGGGGGTACGGGCAGGATATAAGAGTACAGGTAGGGATGGGGTTGTGGGCAGGAGAAGCAGATGGGGAAAAGGGAAGAGAGGGAGAAGGACGAGGAGGGGGTGCAGAAAGGGATTTGAGGAATGTGAGGAACTGCCGGCAGGGGCAGGTGTGGTTTGTGGGTGCGGGCAGGGGGGACGTGGGTGAGTGACACAGGCTGGGGGGCTCGGCCCCGCGGGATCCCTCCGTTGCCAGAGAAACTGAGGCAGGGAGGGGGGGACACCCCTTCCTGGGGCACTCCAGGGTGTCACCCTGTGTCCATCCTGGGAGTGGCCTTTGCCTATCCCGGGGGATTCGGGGGTCTCACCCCGCGTCCTGTCCCCTTGCAGAAAGCGAGTGCCACCCCTGTCCCTGCACGCCGTCCTGTGAGTCCGGCCATGCCCAGCCCTGTCCGCCGCCCCCCCAGCGCCGCGGTGCCACTGGGGCTCCCCATGATCCCGGCGGAGGGTTCGGCGCTGCTGCGCGCCGTATCCCAAGGGAAATTCCGCCTGACCCGGCTGCTGCTGGAGGGGGGAGCCTACATCAACGAAGGCAATGCCGCGGGCACGACGCCGTTGATGGCAGCGTGCCGTGCCGGCTACGCCGACCCGCCCGAGCAGCCGCGGATGGTCCAGTACCTTCTGGAGAACGGCGCCGATCCCAACATTCCCGATAAATCCGGGAAGACGGCGCTCATGCACGCCTGCGCCGAGCGCGCCGGCCCGGCCGTGGTCGCTATGCTGCTGGCCCACGGCGCCGACCCCAGCGCCCGGGACTACGCGGGCGGCTCTGCGCTGCTTTACGCCTTGGAGCGCGGGGACCGGGAGACGCTGCAGGTGCTGCTGGACGCGTGTCGGGAGCGCGGGCGCGACGTCATCATCATCACCTCGGCCACGTCTCCCCGCGGCACCAAGACCACCCGGCAGTACCTGAACTCGCCCCCGTCGCCCGCCCTCTGCGCGTCCCCCTCCCAGGTGCAGGTGCGAGCGGCGGCGTCGCCGGGTGCCAGCGCGAGGGACGAGGAGCGCGACGTCTTCCGCTTCCCACCTGCGGCTCCAGGCGCCGCTTCAGAACCATCCCGGGCCGTGCCCAAGCGGCAGCTGAAAAGGCTCAATTCGGAGCCCTGGGGGCTGGCGGTGCCGGGAGTGGAGGGGATGCGGGGATACTCCGAGGGGAGCCTGGAGGGGACACAGGGACCCCCAGAGGGAGCACGGAGAACCTTAGATGAGATATGGGGACCCCCGGAGGGGACACGGAGACCCTTGGAGGGAACACGGGGCCCCTCAGAAGGTTCGTGGGGTTCCCCTGAGGGCCCACGGGGGCCCCTGGAAGGGACGGCAGCCCCCCCGGAGCGGCTGGCGGTGGGGCTGGAGGGGCTGCACTTGCGCCCGCGCCGGCACAGCGTGGAGGGGCGTGAGGTCTCAGGGCTGCCAGGAGTCAGCTGGGCTGAACGGGTGCCCCCCGTCGCCACCCCAGGGCGTTGGGCCCCAGCCCCCGATCCTCCACGGGGCAAACCCCTGCGCCGGGACCCCCCCAATCCTGAGCTAGCCACCCCCGGGCCGCTCCGGCACCCGGCTGGGCTACTGGAGCGCCGTGGCTCTGGAACGTTTCCCCTGGAGCCCCCCGGGCCGGGGAGGGCCGGGCTGCTGCCCCCGCTGCCCCCCCGAGCACTGCTCCGCCGGCATTCCATGCAGCCAGAGGCCTTGCGGCATCTCGGAGCCTTCTGCGGGGGGCTGGGTCGCGAGCCTGTCTCTTAGGGGCCCCCTAGGGATATGGTGAACCCCCAAGCCCAGGACCCCTTCGGGAAGGCCTCATGTGGGTGGTGGCACTGTTTGCTCTGAACCCTGCTGTGGGTTAACTCTTCCATCCCTCTGCTGGCACAAACTCTGCACGACCCTGAATTTGGGGAGCTGGTGAGTGCATTCCCAACTCCCAGCCCCCTCCCCCCCCCCACCCCGGTATCCTCCTCCTGTTCCTGCCTCATTCTCCCAGCAGCTTTTTCCCCCAGACCCATCGCTGGAGGTCCCCAGGTTCTGGCAATAAAGGCCCCAGTGTAGATCAGTGGCTCTGAGTGGGAGGGGGGCACATCTGTGGGCTTGGGGACACAGGGGACAGTTGGGGGGTGCAGCTGGATGCTGGCACAGCCAGACACCAGCACATGTGGCCACAGGGACCCCATTGGGTCCCCCCAAGCTGCACAGCTGTTGCTTCCCAATGCTAGTTTTAAAGGAAAAAAGGGTTTCCAAGACCTGAGTTGTTCTACTGCCAGGCTGGGAGGGATCCTCAGGATCCTTGGGGATCCAGCAGCCTGGATGGGGAGGGATTTTAGGGAAAGGGCCATGGGAGGGGCTGGGGAGTTTTAATGAAGGACAAAGAAAAAGAAGACAAACTTAGACAAAAACTTATTATTGAACAGAAAACAAGGAATTCCCAGTGGGATAAATGCCATGGGAGATTTAGGGACCATTTGTCTGAGGCATGGAAAAAACTCCTGGTATGTACTGGGATATGGGGCTGGGAGGGATCACCCCAAACCTGAGGGAAATCTCCCCAACCCCCAGAGGCTGCTGCTTCCCTCATATTTGTCCTTTGAAAACAATAAAATTCCATAAAACACAAATTTCCCCAGGGATGGAGCTGGTTTGGCTCCTTGAGGCTGTGTACAAACCCCTGTTTTCCCAGTTTCCCCCAGCATGGACTTGGAACACAAATGGGTGGAAGTCTGGATCCATCATCGGCGGCGCCGGTCCGGACTGCGGCTCCGCCGGCGTCCACCCCTGGAAAACCGGGAAGAGGTGGGTAAGGGTGTAAGGGAAAAGGAGATAAGGCAAGTAAAAAAAGAAGGGGGAAAAGGGAAGGAAGTGGGAGGAAATAGGGAAAGGGTGGGGAAAGGGAGGGAAAAGGGTACAGAAAATGAGGGAAATGAGAGGTAAGGAAGAAGTCTAGAAGGACGGCATTTTGGGGTGTTCATCCCTATTTAAACCTTGCCCCTCATAATGGTGCATGGAATGCCCCCCATTCCTCTAGCCAAGGGTTCCAGTGCTCCCACAGGTTCCTCCCATTACCAGCTCCTGGAATTCCCAGGAATTCCCTCACCTCCTCTTGCCCTTGGGGGGGCCTCGGACGAAGCACCAGTCAACGCTGACCGGCTGCCCCATGAGCTCCTGCCCATTGAGCCCCTCCATGGCTGCCTGCGCCTCCTTGTACGTCTCATACTCCACCAGCGTGTAGCCCTGGGATGGGATAGACTGGGAATGAGCCTGGACACCAGGGGAACTCCCAGCTCAGGTTTGGGGTGCATGGACCTCCTGACACCCTGGGTTTAGGAATGGGAATGAGCTTGGGCACTGGGAACCCCAAGCTCACTCTGGGGTTAGGACCAGGAATGAGAATGACCCCAGGCAATGGGGGAATCCAGCTCACAGCCCAACTCCCAGCTTGGCTGTGGGATGCAGGGACCTCCCAGTAAGTCAATTCTGAGATGCAGGGACTCCCATGACCCCCAGAATTGGCTCGGTTTTGGGGTGCACCTCCCAGCCTGGAGCCTCCCCCAAGCTGAGATGGAGTCTGGGGATCCCCACAAATGCTGCCCCCCACCTTTAAGTATCCTGTGCGCCGGTCCAGGTTCAGGTGGATGTTCTTGATCTCCCCGAATTCGGCGAATCGGTCATGCACATCCTCCTCTGTGGCCTCCTCGTGCACCCCTGTCACAAACAGGATCCAGCCCTCCACGGCTGGGCAGTAAAAGGGGGTGTCATGGAGCTGGAAATGGAGCTTCCCCCCAGAATCTCTTGCCTTGAGAAGGGGATGTGTAGCCGCCCCAGGCTGAGATTTGGGGGTTGACCCAAAAGTGATCCTGGGAAGGTGGGAAAGAATCATCCCAGCATGGCCCCAATTCCTCCTCCTTCTGGTGGTGGGTCCCAGGAAAGGGTCTGTCACCCAAAATCACTTCTTTTTCACAGCTAGGAAAGGGAGATGGGAGGCCCAGAATCCACAAATCCTGGGTGAGGCTCAGGGGGGCTGAACCCCAATCCAGAACCCAGAACATCTGTCCCCCCCTATTCCCCCTCCCTTCCATGGGGAAAGTGCCCCTGGTGACACTTGGACACCGTGGGGTTCTCGGGAAGGAGCATCTCCCCCAAATTTCCCCATTCCCAACTTGAGAAGGGGATCTGGAGCTGGGGTTTGCCCTAAAATAAATCCTAGGAATGAGGAAGAGGAAGGGATTGTCCCAGCAAGGCTGAGCCCTGACCCGGAGTTGCAGAGCCCCCATGAAGCCCTCAAGGTCCCCAGTGTGCCCCCTCACATCTCTGTGGCCCTGGCTCATCGCCATCCTGCTCGACGCTGTCGTAATCTTCGCGCACCCGAGCGCGGGATCCTTCCTCTGGAAAGGAAGGAAAACAAGGTAAGAACGGGGCCCCCAAACTTCAGGGTCACCCAGCCCCTCGCAGAGCACCATGGAAGGAGTTCGGGGGTGTTGTGGGGCCTACCTGAGCCGAAGCCGCGGCCCTTCCGCTTCTTGGCCTTTTCCTTCAGCTTGTGGATGCTCTCTGGTGGGAATTGCAGGGAGGGACCGGGATCATGGAGTCAGCAGGAGCAGGGAGCCCCCCCCCAGATGAACAGGGACTCCTCATCCTGGCCGGGAAAGGCCCCCCTGGGCTGGGCAGGACACCCTGGACACCCCCGGGAAAGACAGGACAGTCTCCCCATAATGGGAATGACCTCCCCCAGGCTGGACAGGACCCCACGAGTTCCTCCGGCCCAGGAATGGTCCCATGAGCCGGGAATAAGTCCCCAGCGCCGAGCAGGAGCCCCCAACCCAGGCCGGGAATGATCCGCCCCGTGCCGGGGCTGTCCATGAGGCCGATGGGGTTTGGGGACGCGGGCAGAGCGGCTCCGCTGAGCCCGGGCCCGCCTGGATCGGTCGGCGGAGCCGCTCTGGGTTGGACGGTATCGCCGCAGCCCCGCGCTCACCGTCGCCATCCTCGTCCATAGCAAAATCCTCTCCGCCCGCCTCATGAAGATCCAGCACGTCCGCCATCTTGCCCAGGATACCGGGGCACGCCGGGAACGCGCCGGAAGGGCCGCCATAGCGGGAGGGTGCGTGGCGGAAGTGCCCGTTCAGCCATGCTGAGAAGGTCACGGCCGCCGTACTGGGACGCTTCTCTTCGCCCCGGGGATCCTGAACCCCGCACCAGGCGGCTCAGGCGGCTGTTGGGTACGACCGGCCTCACAAAATGAGCAAGACGACCAAAGTTAACCAAAATTGCTGGGTTTATTGTATAAAATCCACAGCAGTGTTTATCCCGCCCGATTTCCTTAATTCCACTGCCTCAACAGGGAGCACAACTTTCTCCATACCAAGAAAACTTGAATTTAATTTTACACCTTCCAAGGAGATCCGGAGCCTCCAAACTGGCACCTCAATCCCACAGGCAATGGGATATATGGGATATCCGGTTTCTTTCTTTTTTTTTTTTTTTTTTTTCTCTTCCACCACGATGGAACTGCCAAAATCCTGCCGAACCTGTTTACTTGGAGCATAAAGAAGCCACCGGAAGAGCTGGAAGGAGCTTCAGGGATTCCCTTACGTGCGGAATCAGGGGTATAAATTGCGGGATTAACTCCATGTTATTCCTAAATCAAATTTTTTCCAATATTTCAGGAAAATTACACACACACACACACACACCCCTATCCCTTTTAAATCCCATTTCCGGCCACATCAAACGTTAATAGGTTGTAGAAAGTATAAAAAATATATAAACCCCCAAAACAGGCTCATTAGGATGCGGATATAAAAATGGGGTATCTACAGATAATGGAATTGTTCCCATTTTATCTTAAAACAATGATTATTGATGGAATATCCTGTGGTCAGGTAGAGGGAAGAAGGAGGGTGGGAATAGTGGAATCCGAAGGGTTTAAGAGGATGATAAGAAGTGGGAAAAGCTCTAAACTGGGGTGAAAGAAGGAATTCTGGCTTGGAATTTAGCTTGTATTTCCAGTCTGCTGGGGAAAAGGGGAGTAAGATTGAAATTTCCATGGATACACTGACATTTTCTTGGGTGAACTTAGAGCTGTTTGAACAATTCCATGTCATAAAAGGGGTTTTTAAAGCTAAATATAGTCTAAATTCCATATGGAGATGTATACAAGAGATATTGAACGATTAGTGAAAATCCCTGCCTCATTCACAAACTCCACTTTTCCAAGTTTCCATGAAAAGGCCAATGCTAATGTTGGGCTACAGACGGGGCAATTCCAGGGGGAACTGCAGATCCTGCTGTGCTTGGGGCTGGAATGCTGCAGGCTGATCCCAGGTTTAATTCCAAACTGCACTTTTCAATCCCTTTGGATATTGCATTTGTTGGCATTCATTTGGATTTAATTAAAGAGGTTATCAAAGAGGTTTAATTGATCCCTTTCTGCTACAGGAGGGAGGGGGTGCCAGGCATTGGATCCAACGGGCTTTTCCAGAGGAAACACTGGATTCCATGGAATCCCACCTGCTCCAGTAACAATGGAGGAGTGCAGAGAAGACAAAACCTGTGATTTGAACCCTGAAAATAAGGGACAGAAAAAAATCCATATGGAATGAGGAATTTCCAGGGAATAAGGAGTTCTCAAGGGAATAAGAAATTCTCTAGGGAATGAGGAGACTGAGGACCAGCTCTAAAAAACAGGATGAAACTGCTAAAATCTATTCAGGAGCTTTTTCCCTAAATTTCTTTCAAATGTGCAAACGGGCTGGGACTCAGGAAAGGGTGTTGGGAGCACTGGGAAGGATCCCAGGGCGGGATCCTGGGCTTCAGCAGCCGGAGGAGTGTGCTGAGCCCAGCTGGCCAGCTGCCAGCAACAGGATGTCCTTCTTCTCCTTATGGAATCGCAGCTCCTTCCCAGCCAGCCGGGCCTCATCCAGCTCCCGCTCCGTGGCCGCCAGCTCCCGGGAAAGTGCACCCGGAATGTTCTGCTCCCGGTTCACCCAGTCCAGGGCCATCTGGTTCCGGATGTCATCGTCCAGAGCACGGTGGGAATAGTGAGCCAGGACTTCCTGGTGGGAAAGGGATGCAGGGTGAAACTTAGGAGTGGGAAGGAGCAGCAGGATCAAGGTGGCCCCGGAGCAGCCCCGGACTCACCTGGCGTGAGCACTGGCGCTCCCGCATGGCCTTCAGGCTCCCGTTCCAGTGCAACAGCTGGAAAACCGTCATCAGCTCCTGGGACAGCAAGTGGGAGGCACGATGAGAGCACATACAGGACCAGGATCATGGAATCATGGGGTAGGGCAGAAGGGACCTTGTGAATCACCTGGAGCCCAGGGGGTACACTGGACACCTGTCTGGGTGTCACTGAGCCCCTTCTAACTTGGCCTGGAGCACTTCCAGAGATGGGGCAGCTTCCCTGGACATGGATTCATCCAAAGGCACCGCCAGCACCAGGACACTGGGGCAAAATTCCCTGATTAATCTGGACTACAACGGAGACAGAGCCTCCAATACTCCCTGTGCCCTGGGAATTCTGTGATTCTCTTCTCCAAGATGAACCAGCATCAGCACCAGGTACAATTCCAGGTTTTCCAGTGATTTCTCCCTCCAGGCCACACAAATTATGCTCAAAAACTGGGACCTGTTAGGCTTCCCAAACCCAGATGGACCTGGGAATCTTCATCCCAGAGTCTCCATCTGCGAACAGGGCCCTGAACATAAACACCACTTGTCTGTCACCCTGGAGAATTCCCATACCAGGGAAAGGAGCCAGCAGAGGGGTTGGAAAAGTACAGAATTCCAAACACAGCCACATTCCAAAGCTGGATTGTAACCCTGGAGCAGTCACACCCAGATTTCTCTTCTAATGAAAATCCAGCTCCAGTGATGTGTGCTCCAGAGTCATTCCCAGTCCCTACCCAAGGCCAAGTTGAAATTAAAAGGATTCAGGAATCTCAAGGAACTATTGGAACAACATCCTGGGATGGACAGGGAGTTCCAAACCTGATTTCCCTGGCACTACTCCCATCTGTTTCTTCATAAAGGCTGGATTAAAGCCCAGAGGACTCTCCATTCCCAGCTGTTCTCCTAATCTCAATCCATGTTCCAGAACCTTCCCTTGGCAGCTCAGACTTCCCATTGTCCAGATGTTCTTCTCAGCCACATTCCCATGGGATACAAGAATAGTCCTGTGGTTTGGGGGAGTGTCATGATGTCACTGGCTCCCAGTTCTACAATCCAAGTGTCTTTGGGGGAAACATTTTCCCATCTTTCCATGTGAGAGCTCTTGCTTCCCTGTTTTCAGGGAGAGGATGAACCCCACTAATTAACTGGACTACTGCAATTAGGACATTTGGAGGTAGCACCTGGAAACATCAGTGACAGTGAGAAATCCAATTCCAAGGACTTTGCACCTAGTACCCTGAATCTGACCAGAATCAGAAGGAAACCCTGAGTTCATTTTCCATAGAAAAGACTAGAAATGCAGCTGGGAGATCAACCCAAATATCCTTTAACCAAATCAGGAATGGGACCTGGGTAGATCAGGAACAGTATCTGCAAAAACTGGAAACAGTACCTGGAACTCCAGCATAGATTTTCCCTTGTTGGACTCCAGCATGAAGCGGAAGGCCCCGATCCCAGTGTTGGGATTATCTGCCTCTTCTCGATTGCCCTGCAGAGACATTCCAGACAGGAGGTGCCATTCCCACCGGATCTGCTCCTATCCCCACTGCACCATTCCCACTCCCAGAAATCCCAGTGGGATCGAGGAGAGCCTGATGCCAGCACAGGCTGAGTTGTCGCACTCTTATCCAGGTGATCCAGCCTCGACCAAATGACATGGGCCACTCTGGCACTCCCTGGACAAATCTGGGGCAGTACCTTAGGATAAATTTGGCTCTCCTGGAGCAGCAAATGCCCTGGGAACAGGATTTTTCCTGCACTGATTCTAAGGCTTTCACAACACCCTGGAGACCACAGAGCACCATGAGCCGCATGGCAAGAATTCCCTCTGAGATAATCAGAGCAGGAAAGGGAGAATGCAAAGCTCCCAGTGATAGGAACTAAAATTCCTGGAAAATCCTTGGTTTAAGGAAAACTAGTGGATGTGACAACCCTGTCATGGAACAGCCAAAAAAATCCACAGCCTTGTTATCCCACCTGGGATTGCAGCACAAAGAACAGAAGAATGAGAGTTAAGCTACACTTAAAATCCTAATACTCCATCAAACCCCCCCACCAAGGAGTTCTTATCCACTCTTTGAGGCTTTTCCTGGGGTTTTCCATCCCCATCCTCACGTTGAAGGATGCCAGTGCCTCAGAGACACTCTTCTCGATGAAGTCGTCAGTGATCCGGCGGGAAGGGTGCTCGTTGAACACGGAATTCATCAGCGCAATCTTGGCTGCGCTCCGGCGTGCCTCAGCCTTAGTGGGACAGAACTGGGGACACATAGCAACAGTCAGGACATTCCCAGGATACCGACACCCCCTGGACCACCAGGAATGGGAACTGAGCAGGGGTGGAATTAGGAAATCATGCTCCCAGAATCAAAAGAGGTTCAGAAACTCCCATTGCATTGTCAATTAATTAATTACCTCAAACCCAAACTGCTCTGGAATTCCCCCAAAGACCGGGATTTTGGGATGGGATGACCCTGTGGCTGCTGCAATTGTTTCCTTTGGATCCATGTTCCCAACCATGAGAAAGGGCAGGAACGAATGTGGAACACAGGCAGGATTTGATGGGACATTGGGACTTAAATCTCTTTAGGTCGGGAATTTTCCCAGGAGGGGTGAAGGAATGGATTCCTCCGGTGGGATGTTCCCGGCCCACAGCACAGGGTTGGAATTGGATGGTGTTTAAGGTCCTCTCCAACCCAAGCTATTCCAGGACCCCATGACCCAACGCTCTGATTTGATTTCCAGAGTCTTTTGGCATCCGGAGAAGAGGTTTTGGGACAAATCCTGAGCCCCAGCGGAGGAATATTCCTCTACCAGTTTAAACCTCTGCCTAATTCTGGGAAGGAAAAGGAAGGATCAAATCTCGGGAGAAGGAAGATCAGATCTCTTCCCTGATATCCCATCTCCTACCTCAGCACTAAGGTGCAAGTGACCAGAATAGGGAATAAAGGACACAAAAAAAGCATAATCCACAGACAAATCTTCCCAGATTGGGATCTGGTGGGGATTTACAGGCCAGGAGCAACTTGCAGTTAAATTTCTTTGGAACTAAAGATGTTTAGAGCCAGATGCAGGGGCTGGAATCGGCAGGAGAATGCCCGCACAAGGAGGAGATATTTGGGAAACGATTCCCGTGGGGTCCGGGCGAAGTATTCCCAGGATCGGGATGGTACCTGGAAGCTGCCGAAGCAGCTGCCGCCGGGCAGGGTGACATAGCAGACGTAGGGGGGGCTGGCGGCCGGGACCATCTCGTAGAGTACCAGGGCGCCGTTGCGCAGCTCGGCCCCGCGCGACTGCTTCATCTGCCAGAATTCCTGCAGCGCCTCCACCACGTTCACTGCCGGACACAGCCGGGAGAACCGGCGGGAAGAGCCCCCAGGATTGGCATGGCAGGGTGGCAGTGGGGCACGGAAAGAAGGAAAAGGGGCAAGGGGAGAGGGCGAAGGGCATGAAGAAGGAAGGAAGTGGGGCATGGAAATAAGCAAAAGGAACACGGAAATAAGGAAAAGTGAGAAAAGTGAATAAGGGAAAATTGACCTCCCCCGGTCCGTCGGCATCCCCCGTTCCCCCCTGGTTCCGCTCACCGCGGCCGTAGCCCTGGGTGTGTTTGGCGAAGCTCCGCACCACGGCCTCCACCGCCTCCCGCAGAACCGCAGGCGGCCCGGGCACGGCCCCGGCCCCCGTCCCGGGGGGCGCGGGGGGGCCCTGCAGACCCAGCGGGGGCGGCGGCGGCGGCAGACCGAGCCCCGGCCCCAGCCCCGACGCCGTTCCTGGTGCCGGTCCTAGCCCCGCGGGGGCCCCGGTGAGGCCGGGCCGGGCCCCGCGGGGTCCGGCACCCACCCCGGGCTGCAGCCGCTGAGCCCGCACCGCCTCCATAGCCGCGCTCCCTACCCAGCACTGCACTGTCAATCAGCGCCGCTCCGCGCCCAGCAGCCCAATAGAAGCGCCGGATCGGGGCGGCGGAGGCGGGGAAAGAATCAGCAGGCCAATCACAACGCGGTGCGCGGTTTGCGGGGCGGGGACAGGGCGCGGCGCACTCACCCACTAACACAAATAGCGGTGTGTGGTCGTGGGGCGGTAAGAGGGCGGGGATTAGAGGTCTCATTGTCCAATCGCGCTGGGGTTTGTTACATTGACAGGCGAAAAGTCGAATCAAAATGCAGGAAGCACAAAAGAGCAGAGATGGCGGTACTGGATGACAGCCACACTCTTATTGATCAGCAAAAGCAATTAACTGCAAAAGAAACCAATCAAACTCTTCGACACAGATTTACAAGCTGACACTACAGCAGTCGCCCATTCATGGAGTCTGTTTTGGTATAGGAGTGGGCGGAACCGCGCACAGCCAATGGGAACGAGCCGCGGTGGTTATAGGAAGTGACGCTCGGCCGGGCTCGGGAGAGCGGTCGGGACTGGGCCCGGTGCGGCTCCCGCCCCACCATGGAGGCCTGGGTGCGCTTTAGCGCCCAGAGCCAGGCCCGGGAGCGTCTCCTCAGGTACAGCTTCGGCTCCCCAGGCCAGCGGGCAGTCGCGGGGGGCCCGGGGCAAGGGGGTAGTGGAGGTTCGGAGGGGGCGGTCACGGGAGCAGGGGGGATGGCGGAGAGCCCGGGGAGGCGGGGGGGGGGTGCGGTCACTGAGACCTCGGAACCCGAGGAGGAGGGTCGCGGGTTCCCAAAATCCTGGGGCGGCGGGTGGGCCGTCCCGGATGCCTTAGAGCCCAGAGAAGGGGGGTCTGAGGCCCCGGGCTGATATCCCCAGTGGTCCGTGCCCCTCCTGACTCCATCATTGTCCCCAGGGCCGCGCAGTACGCCTGTGCCTTGGCTGGGGCCGCGCTGAGCCGCTCCGGGAACGGCTCCGAGGGCAGCTCCGGGACCCTGAGCCGCCTCCAGCACCTGGAGGCTCATCTGAGCCTGGGCCGCAAGCGTGAGTGGGGGGGATCAGGGTGGTTTTGAGGGGGAACATGGAGGGCCCCCCGCTGACCCCTTCGTGTCCCCTCCTGCAGTGCTGCGCTTGGGGGGCTCGGCCGAGGCCCTGGGAGTGGCCCAGCGCTCGCTGCATCTACCCGACCCTGTCCTGCGCTTCTGCCTCACCCTGTCCCACCTGAACCGTGCCCTCTTCCTGGCCTGTGATAACGTCTTGTGGGCCGGGAAAACCGGGATTCTGCCTGGCCTTGCCACGGACAAGTGGAGCCAGAGGTCCTTCAGGTGAGTGAGGTGGGGCATTTGTGGAATGAAGGTTGGAAAAGCTTCCTCAGGTTTGTTGGGTGAGCGGGGCAGGGAGGTCAGATTGCCAAGGGAGAGCAGGGAGTGACAATTCCCCTGAGGAGAATAAGGATAGGAATTCCCAAGGGAGGACAGGGAGTGGAATTACTGAAGGAGAGTAGGCAATGAGCTCCCCAAGAGAAGGAAGAGAATTAAATTCGTCCAGGGAGAGCAAGTGATGAGCTTCCAAAGAAACAGGCCTTCTGAGGGAGACTGGGCAATGGAGTTCCTGAGTGAGGGCAGGGAATGGAATCCCTGAGCTCCTGAGAGTGGGTTCCTGCTGGCTGAGCGTGACTTTTCCATTCCCCCAGGCATTTCTGTAGCTGTTGGGAGTGGCTAGAGGCTTCTGCTGCCGCTGTTTCCCACTCTCCTATCTCTGCTCCCTGTTTTTCCCAGGTATTACCTGTTTGCTCTGGTGGTGAACCTGAGCCGGGATGCCTACGAGATCCGGGTGCTGCTGGAGCACGCAGAGGCAGCCAGGAAGCGTGGGAAGAGCCCGGAAAACAGGCCCCAGCTCCAGGCTGATGGTAGGATCCAGCGTCTCTGGCTCCACCTGCAGCTCCAGCTGCAGCTCCTTCTCCAGGTGCTCCGGGACAACCCCCCACTACTGCTGGACCTGCTGCGGAATGCCTGTGACCTGGTGATCCCGCTGGAAAAGCTGGGGCTGTGCCGGAGCAGCCCAGGCATCGTGGGATTCTGTGGCCTCGCCTCCTCCGTGCTCTCCATCCTCACCATCCTCCATCCCTGGCTCAAACTGAAGCCGTAGTTATCCCAGGGGCTTCCTTGGGATGTTTGGGAATCCTGGGGGCTTATCCCAGGGGCTGTGACACCTGGAGCTGACTAGCTCATTCCATTCCCATCATTCCTGACTCCTTGGAGCCACAAGGTTCCAGCATTGGATGCAGCATTGGATCCCACAGGGACATCAGCTCCCAAAATGTGTTTCTCCCCACTGACTTTTCCAGCAATTTTGGAGGTTCAACATTCCCCCTTTCTGTCTGGGAAGCGCCTTTGACATGGAGCCAACTAATGGGGAATCTTTGGGGCTGGAAAATGTGGATTGCTGGGGGCTTCTCATGGTTTTTGGTGGGGTGAAGCCATGGGTTTGGGATGAATCTGATGCCAGATAGCGTATCCAACCCCAAATTGTTTGGGCAATTTTCCTGCCTTATAAGAAAGCTGAGTGCAGGGAGAAGGGAATGGGAAGAATGGGTGTCAGGGATAAATCCATGGCTTTTGGGGGGAAATTCAGGCAGGAATTTGCTCTCCTGAACCTTCCGTGAAAGCCCAGGGGAAGGAAGTGACTGAAGTGAGTTGCGTCAAGCTGGGGGGGATCGCTCCCAGCATTCCCATAGGGATTTCCCTCCACTGGAGAATACTGAGGGGACTTGGCATGCTGAGTGCTTCCCAGGAGATCCACCTCCCTTCTGCCCAGAGCTGCACAGATCCACCCTGGCTGCACTTCCCTTCCCAGCTATCCTGTTCGGTGGTGTTTTTTGGGAAAAATCAGAATGTGGCTGGCTCTCTGTTGGGATTCCCTGCACCCGGTATTCGTGGTGCTGCTCCCTCACTGAATTCCCTTTTTCCCTGGATTCTGAACCCTGGATTGCGTGTGGCCCCAACCGAGTTCTGATGCCTGTTACTAAGCCCTGGACTGAGGGACACACTGGGAGCTGGGAATTACTTAATTCCAGAGGCAGATTGCCCTTGGACCTGTCCCTGGGAGAGCAGGAACGTCCTCTTGAAGGTTTTTTGGGAGCTCTGTACTGAAATGCCACCCACTCCTGGGCCCATCTGGACTGTGCCAAAGGCTTTTTCCTGGAAAAACCAGGCATTGAAGGCTTTGGAGCAGTGTGTATCCTAGTGGGAATTGGGATGGGGGGGAAGCACTCCAGGGGATCCCACAGAGTCAGTGTAATTAATTAATTAATTAAATTATTAAAGTGCAGCAGCCTCCAGTCCCCGTGTCCTGGGATATTTGGATATGCAGGGCACTGGGATGGGCTGGGAATGCTGGACTGGGAGTACTGGCCTGGGACCCTCCTGTGGTTTCAGGGGACATTGGAGAACCCTTGGAACTGGGGAGGGAAAAATCCCTGCTTTTCCTGGTGCCAAAAGGTGGGCGGAGGGGATACCCAGTCCCTTCCCTGTCTCTTCCCATTCCCATCCTGTCTCTCTGGTGTTGCTGTTCCTGTCCCAGCTGAGCCTGGGCCAACTTCCTGCACCCCAGAGGCTGCCCTGGGGAGGTTTGGCGGGGGTGAGGTGCAGCGGAGAGATTTTGGAGGGGGATTTAAGTTGTCCAGTGGCATTTGGGTATTGAGAGACTGCCAGCTTATTCACCAGCCTTCACAGAAGTAAATGTGAGCACCGTTTATTTCTATCTTTAGCACACCTTTTATAGGGTTCTACAGGGTCCGCGGGCAAGGCAAGCTACTATTGGCTAACACATACAAGTTTACATTTCTTCCCTTGTACACAAGGATATTGTTTTGCTTTACTCTCTTCTGCAGGAAGGTTTCAAGGACTTTAGCCTTTAATATCATGACTTATTTCAAGGACTGGTTTGTGCAGACAGGCCTTTACTAATATATAAAATGTATCAACATTTGTGCATTGGGAAGGAGAAAGAATCTGGAGCGGTAGGAGGCTTCCCCCGTGCCTCAGTTTCCCCTGTGACCGAGGAGGCCCCTACCTGTGCTGGTGGGGCCCTACCTGGGTGGGGCCATCTGTGGCCACAGCTGGAGCTGCACAGTTGCTGTTTGTCTGTTTTTCTCCTCATTCCTTGTTTTTTTTCCCCTGAAAATTCCAGCCCGTCCCACAGCCGCTGGCAGCACAAGTTTCCCTCTGTCCTAAATTGCAGAGTTTGAAATTTTCCCTTTTTTTTTTTTTTTTTCCCCCGAATCCACTCAAGAGCTCAGTCCGGGAGGTGGCAGTGTCATCAGGAGGACGTGGCAACCCAAAATCCACCTAAAACCACACAAAATCTGCCCAAGCCCTAACCAAACCCCACCCAGACCCAGCGGTGACCCCCAAGACCCCGTATTCCAACCCACTCCTGATGGTCCCCACGGGGAAGATCCAGGTGTCACTGCCACCTCTGTGTGGTTCGGTCCTTGGGGGAGATACACGCTTTTCCCTCCCCATTTTTCCAGAAAAAAGTGGAAAAATCCCTTTCCAGCACCCCCCAAATGCCTGGTACCCCCACGAAATCCTGCACCCACCTCCTCCCTTCTTCCCGCTCCCCTTTTTCCTGTGTTTGTACCACTTTGCCTGTTTTTTTCTCCCAAACTCTTTGCCACCCCCCCTCCCCCCCAAAACCACATTTATTTTTAGCAGCCAATTGAAGATGAAGGAGGAGGGAAAATATACTGAAAAAAAGAGGAAAGAAAAAGGGAAAAACCCAGGATTTTGTCCTGGCTGGAGCCAGAGTCACCTTTGAGCTTCAGCACGGTGATGTGGGCTGTGGGGACCCGGGGGGTGCTCCTGGCGCTGTTTCTGCTCCCAGGTAACACCCACACCTACCTCCCCCCTCCCCTCCAAATCCCCTGGTTTTGGGCCATTTCGGGGTGTTTTGGGGCTGTTGGAGGAGGGAGGGTGTGGAGCCGGGTACTCATTAATCCGAGTGCAGCCAAGCGTGGTTCCCCCCTCTCTGAATGTCTTGGGGGAGGGGAGGGTTTGGGATAAAAAGGCCGGTTATGGTCATTGCCCCTGCCCAATATATTTTGGAGCTTTTTTGGAGGGAGAAGACAACTATATCTCCTTGGATTTGGGGTAGAGTGAGGGTGGAACAAAAGTGGACCTAAAATCCGGCTTTAATGGAAAATCTTTTTTTTATTTAAAAAAAAAACAAAAAGGGAATTTCCATCCCCCTTTCCCCCCGGTGGAGGGGGGAGAGATTCATGCCCCCACCCGCCCACAACCCAGTGGGGCCCCCCACGCTCCCCACCGCGAGGGAAACTGAGGCACGTGGGCAGTGCTGGGCACTGTGGGACTTCGGGTGGGGGAGGCTAGGGACTTAATTTGGGTGGCGGGGGTGTGTTTGGGGTGCTGGGGGTTCTCCGTTCCCCTCTTCCCTGCAGTTTCCTCTTTCCCACTGGGGTGCCGGGCACCCCAGCCCCCCTCCCGGGTGCCACTGGAGGGGTGCGGGATGCCCTCCCCACCTCAGGACCCTCCGTAACTTCTCCAGGGCTCTGTGAGGGGTTCAACATCGACGTGGGGCATTCGCGGATCTTCCAGGGACCCCCCGAGTCCCAATTTGGGTACCGGGTGCTGCAGTGGGGTGGCAATGGGGACAAGTGGTGAGTGATCTCTGGGGGGACCCCGGGGGAGACAGGAGAGAAGGGGAAACTGAGGCGGGAAAGGGGAGATTGAGGTGGGGAAAAGGAAACTGAAGCAGGGAGGGGGGGGAAACTGACGTAGGAAAGGGGAAACAGGAAGGGGGGCAGTGAGGTGGGGAAGAGGGAAACTGAGGGTGGGTGGGGGAAACTGAGTCAAGAAAGGGGAGAAGGGAGGGGGAAACTGAGGTGGGAAGCCAAAACTGTGGTGGGAAGCGGGGGAAGTGAGTTTGGGAAAGGAAAATTTAGGCAGGGAGAGGGAAGATTAAGGTTGGGAAGGGGAAGCATATGAGGGCAGAGGCCGGAGCAGCAGGAGGCCGTGGCCAGATGGCTGGACAAACAGATGGAAACGGCCTTAGTGCTGCAGTGTGGGAGGCAGAGCCTGGCCCCAAAAACGTGGCAGCTGGGTTGGAATGGGGCGGGGGTGGTGATATCCACGGTGTCCCCTGTGTGTCCTTCCCTGTGTTTCCCCTATTGTCCCTCCAGGCTGCTGGTGGGGGCCCCGTGGGATGAGAATGGTCAAGGTGACATCTACAAGTGCAGCGTGAGACTCCAAAACTCCTCCTGTGCCAAGGCCAACCTCGGTACAGGTGGGTGGGTGTGGCCGGTAAGGCCTGGGGCACCCCATGGTGCTCACCCCGCTTCTGTCCCTGCGTCCTCAAGGGGCTGCAGCTCCGTGGCTCCGCAGCAGCGCCGGACACCTTGGGATGACACTAGTGGACTCCAAGGATGGTGGGTTTGTGGTAAGCAGAACCTCTGCAGAGGAAAACTGAGGCATGGCAGGAGATGGGGGGAGGGAGATGAATGTCACCCCCTGCTCTTTCCTCATGTCACCCCCCAAGGCATGCGCCCCGCTTTGGTCCCAGGAATGTGGCACCTCTGTGTTCAGCTCTGGCCGCTGTGTCCATCTCAATGAGGAACTCCAGCTCATGGGGACCATTGCACCCACAGCACAGCGTGAGTGGGGTGGGATGTACTGGGGTATACTGGGATGTGCCACCCTGGTGTCACCGTGTCCCCTGCCAGGCTGTTCTACCTACATGGACATCATCCTGGTTCTGGACGGCTCCAACAGCATCTACCCCTGGGAGGAGGTGCAGGCATTCCTCGGGAACATCCTGGGACGCTTCTTCATTGGTCCTGGGCAGACTCAGGTCAGGCAATGGTACCTTGGCCACCACAGTGTCCCCAAGGCTAGGATGGTGTCCCCATCACCATCAAGGGCAAGGTGGTTGTCTCCAGGGCAATGCTGTTGCCCCTGTGGTGATGCCAGCCTTCGGGTGGATGTCATTGTCCCTGGAGTGACATCATTTTCTCCAAGGTGACACCACCCCTGTGGAGATGCTGCCCTGGGGTGACATCGTTGTCCCCAGGACTATGCCAGCTGGAGATGGTTTTGGAGGGGCCAAAGGTTCCCTTTTCCAGGGATTAGGGGTTCCCCTGGGATTTAGGGGGCTCCCTTTGGGTTTTGGGGGGTCCCTGGCTCAGGTTTCCCCCTGTTTTAGGGGGGGCTGCCATACAGCGACAGGTGGTACAGGAGCAGGTGTTGGGGCAGCACCTTGGGGATTTGAGGGGTCCTTGTGGACTTGGGTATTCCCTGGGGGTTTGAGGGATGTCCGTGTGGATTTGGGGCTCCCTCTGGCTCTGACTCCCCATTTCAGGTGGGGGTGCTGCAGTACGGGGAGCGGCTGGTGCAGGAATGGGCGCTGGGGCAGCACCCTACGGCGCAGAGCCTGCTTGAGGCCGCCCGGAACCTGACGCGTCAGGAGGGGAGGGAGACGCGGACGGCCATGGCCATCCGGCAGGCATGGTGGGCTCTGGAATGGGAATTTGAGCGGGATTGGGAATGGAGGCAGAATTGCAAATGGGATTGGCATCAGGATTGGGATCAGGAGTGAGGCTAGGTTGGGATCAGAATTGGGATTAGGGTCTAGGTTGGGATCAGGATTTGAAAAAGGATGGGAATTGGAATTGGTATCAGGCTTGGGATCAAGTCAGGATTTGGATTGGGGTTGGGTTTGGGATTGGGGTCATGATTGGAACTGGGATTTGCATCAGGGTTGGGGTAGGGACCAGGATCAGGGTTGGGAGCAGGGCTGGTCAGGACTGGGGGGAGTATTAGGAGGAACAAGGGCTCATTCTGTCAGCCACATTCCCACAGCACAGAGTCCTTCAGCCCGGCGCAAGGTGGGCGCCCAGGGGCCACACGGCTGCTGCTGGTGGTGACAGACGGGGAGTCCCACGACGGGGACGAGCTGCCAGCAGCGCTGGAGGAGTGCGACCGGCACAATGTCACCCGCTATGCCATCGCTGTGAGGCCCCTCCCACCGATCCCCATCCCTGCATTTCACTTACTCCCGGGGGGGATCCTGCTGACCCTTGTCTCTCCCTCAGGTCCTGGGGCACTACCTGCGTCGGCAGCAGGATCCCGAGGATTTCATCCGGGAAATCAAGTTCATTGCCAGTGATCCTGATGAGAAGTATTTCTTCAATGTCACAGATGAGGCTGCCCTCAATGATATCGTGGATGCTCTGGGAGATCGGATCTTCAGCCTGGAAGGTGCTGGCTTGAGGCTGGCATCCCAGGACGGGCTGGGAATTCCAGCTGGAAGTGCAGCTGGAGGAATAGAGTCTCCTTCCTCCCCCGGTCAGGCACCCATGGGGACAACGAGAGTGCCTTCGAGCTGGAGATGTCCCAGATCGGCTTTTCTATCCACCACCTTGAGGTGATCCCACTGGGAAAAGTGGAAAATAACCCTCAGCCCATCTCAGCCCTGCTGAGTATCCTGGGAAGGGAGAGTGATATTGGTGGGGATTGAGGACACTGAGGCATTGCAGTGTCTCTGGGTTGACATGTCCCACCCATCCTGGCAGGATGGGATCCTCTTTGGAATGGTTGGAGCCTATGACTGGGAGGGGGGTGTGCTGGAGGAGAGCCAGCGTGGGCGCATTGTTCCACCCTGGGAAGCGTTTCAGGAGGAATTCCCGCTGGAGCTGAAGAATCACGCAGCGTATCTGGGTATGGGGGATCCCAAGGGATGAGGGTGTCCCAAGGAATATGCTCCATATCCTTGAGATTTGAGATTAATCAGGGGTGTTCCATATCCTGGAGATCAGGGGTGAAGTGGGGATGCTCCATGTAATGGATATTTGGGATGCTTGGTGATACAGAGATGTTCCATATCCCAGGGATGCTCCATGTCCTGTATATTTGGGGTGCCCTGGGGATACTCCATACTCCAGGGATGTTCCAAACCTGGATATTTAGGGTGGCCCAGGATCACACTGGGGACCCTGTCTCTCTGGGGCTGTCTCACTGAACCTGCTTCCGCCCCCCCAGGGTACTCTGTGTCCTCGCTGCAGCTCCCGGGGGGGCAGCGCTTGTTAGTGGCTGGTGCCCCCCGATTCCAGCACAAGGGCAAAGTTCTCCTCTTCCAGCTGGACCCCATGGGGACCGTGACGGTGGCCCAGGCATTAATGGGGGAGCAGGTGAGGGGTGGCCAGGGGGACTTGAAGGCCTTGGGCAGGGAGTTTGGGCCTTGTACCCCCCCCTCAGCCTCACAGCCCCTTGTACCCCCAGATTGGCTCCTACTTCGGCAGTGAGGTCTTGGCCCTGGACCTGGAGGGAGATGGGGACAGTGACCTGCTGCTGGTGGGCGCGCCCACCTACCTGGGGGGCCAGAGCAGGGAGACTGGGAGGGTCTATGTGTACCGTGTGGGGCAGGTGAGAGGGTAGGTGTGGGCCTGCGGCTGTCGGGCAGGGTGGGTAGCTGTACGTCGTGGGGCAGGTGGGGGGCTGGGGAGAGGGTAGGTGACGGGCGGGGGACTGGGGTGGACAGGGAGGTCGGGGTGCACTGGGGACAGAGGTCTGGGAGGATCAGCGGGATGCAGAGGGATTGGAGGGTATCGGGGGAACACACTGGGATTTGAGAGGGTGCCTGTCCCGTGGGGGTACCGAGGGTCCCCCCGCACCACCCAGGACCGCCTGAGCCCCGCAGGGTCGCTGCACCCTGAGCCGAGGCAGCAGGATTCCAGATTCGGTTCCGCCCTGGGCGTGGTGCCGAACCTGAGCCAGGACGGGCTGGCCGGAGCCGTGGTGGGAGCTCCGCTGGAGGACGAGCACCGCGGCGCTCTCTACGTGTTCCACGTCTCCCCGGCCACCCTCCTGCCCCAGTACAAGCAGGTGAGATGGCGCTGGGAGGGGCTCGGTGTCGGGGTTGCGGTGATCACGACCCTGTACGAGCCACTGGCTGTGCCACAACTCTCGTTCCCAGCGCATCGAGGCGGCGGCGCTGGGGTGGAGCCTCCGGTATTTCGGGATCAGCGTGGATGGACGGGTGGACATGGACGGGGACGGGCTGGTGGACGTGGCCGTGGGGGCACATGGTGCGGCTGTAGTGCTCCGGTGAGTAGGGGTCAGGGGGTGAGGGACACGGACATCCCAGCCATGGGGATACCCCGGGAATAGGAACGTGGAGAAGGACAGAGACAGCCCGGGGACAGAGACATGTGGGTCATGAGGACATTCAGGGGGAAGGGGACTCTGTGCCTCAGTTTCCTCTTGTAAGAACGTGGGATCCTCCCAGGGCTCTCCATGCCTCAGTTTCCCCTGTGACAAGATCCAGGTTAGGGCTGGGTGGGTGTCTCTGTTCCCACATGATCCTGATGAAATCCCAGGTGTGACTGTGTCCCTCAGGTCCCGCTGGATTATCCAGGTGTTCGCATGGATGTCTGTGGAGCCAGCAGCTGTCAGTGTCACACAACGGAACTGCCAGCGCAGTGGCTCCAGCGCCGTCTGCCTCCGGGCCCGGATCTGCTTCCATGCCGAGACACGCACACAGAACCCTGTGGACATGGATATTGGTGAGTGTTGGCAATAGGGGACTGCAGGGTCCTTGGAGCATCCTTGGAGTATCCCTGGTTGTCCCTGGAGCATCCTGGAAGCATTCCAAAGCATCCTGGAGCATCCTTGGAACATCCCAGGGTATTACCAGAGTCTCTCTGTCCCCAGAGAATCCCAGGGTGGGATTAGAACCCTGGGATTATTCCAGGATTATTAGAGAACCTGGGAGCATTCCAGGAACATTCCAGGAGCATCCCAGGGTGTCCCTGGAATATTCCTGGAGTGTCCCAAGGTGTCCCGGAGAATTCCTGGAGCATATCTGGAGCATCCTGAAAGCCCTGGATTGGCCCTCGCAACACCCTCACCGGGTGTTGCTGGAGGATCGCAATGTCCCTGGAGCGTCCCAGGAGCATCCCATGGGCATTCCCTTAATCTTTCCAGAGCATATAGATGGTGATCCTGGACCACCCCTGGAGTATCCCAGGGTAGCCCTGGAATCTCCCAGGAACATCCTTTAGTGTCCCTTGAATATCAACAGAGCACCCATATCCTTGCTGGGATTCCTGGAGCCCCACTGGATCATGCCACAACATCCTGGAGCCTCTGACCTTCCCTGGTGCCCTCCTGGTGCAACCCAGCCTGTCCCTGGAGCATCCCCAGACTTCAGTGGAGTCGCACTGGAGCACCCCCTCCTGCAGGTGTCTTGGTCCCTGACCCGCTCCCTATCCCCCAGATCTCCGGTACAATGTATCCCTGGAGGACCAGGTCCCGGGATCCCGTGCTGCCTTTGACTCAGGTGCCCGCCGACTGCTCCAGCGCCGAATTGAGTTCCCATTGGGAAGGCAGAGCTGCATCCGCATCCCCTTCCACGTCCTGGTCAGCCCCAGGACTCCTCCCTGCCCCACAGGAGGGCTCTTCCTGCCCCCCATTCCTGGGGGTCTGACTGGAGTGAGGCTGATAGGATCCCCTGATTCTGCAGGACACCTCAGATTACCTGAGGCCCCTCAGCCTCAGCCTCACCTGGGCCCTGGACGTAGCTGCAACGTCGGTGCTGGATGAGGCATCTCCCACCACCATCCGCAAACTGGTGTGTACTGGGAGGGGTGTTTCCGGACACTGGGATCACCCCCAGACATCAGGATCACCCCTGGCTCCTTCCAGATCCCATTTTTCAAGGATTGTGGGGATGACGACGAGTGTGTCACCGACCTGGTGCTGAAGGCCACCACAGACATTGTGGGCTCCAGGTACCCCTGGTGTCCTCCCAGTGTCCTCATGGTGTCCCTGAGATCCCAAGAGTCCCCTGTGAATCCCTGGCCTCCAGGCAGAGTCCCCACATCCTGCGGAAGGGCCGGAGGCGGATGCTGGTGGAGGTGGAGCTGGAGAACCGTGAGGAGAATGCCTACAATGTCAGCCTGTGGTTGCACCTGCCTGGAAACCTCCACTTCTCCAGCCTCGTGCTCCAGGTACAGCCTGGGGGGAGGCCCAAATCACTGAGGAGTAAAGGGTAAAGATGGAGACACAGATCTTTGGAGAACCTCTAGGTCATTCTTGTTCCAACCCATTCCAGGTGGGATGGGTTGGAGTCCATTGGAACCTCAAACCCATTTCAAGTGCAACAGGGGGGTAGGTCCCCAACCTCTCCCAAGTGGGAGCTGGGGGTCTACTGTGTCCTCAACTCCTCCCAGGTGGGAGATCGTATTCCATTGGTCCCCTGTGGCCCCTCAGTATCCCCCTGTGGAGGTCTATTGCTGCCACATCCCAGTGCCCCAAGTACCCAGACTTGATGTCCTGGTCCCCATCATGTCCCCCTGGCAGGATCCCAGCACGGTGAAGTTGGAGTGCTCAGCACTGGGGAGGCACCACCGGCGCTGCAGTGTTGGGTACCCTGTCTTCCACTCGCAGGCCAAGGTAGGACCCCTGACGCCCTCATGAGCCCCTTGGGACCCCCAAACCCCCACCACACCCCTCTGAGCCCCCCCAGGTGTCCTTCACCCTGGAGCTGGAGTTCAGCTGCTCCGTCCTTCTGGACCGTGCCGAAGTCACTCTCCAGGCCAGCAGGTAGGAGTCTGGGGGGAGTGCTGAACCCTCAGGCGGGGGGGAAGGGGGTGGGGTGTGCACTCCAGGGGCATGGGTGGAGTCTGGGGATACTTCCAAGTGTCCCCCGTCTAGTGACAGCACTGAAGTGACACCACAGGACAACGTGGTCAAGCTTTCTGTCCCCATCCGCTATGAGCCCAACCTGTTCCTGTCCAGGTGGGGCTGAGAGAATATGAAAGCAGAGTGGGGGAGTCATGGAGGGGGACACGCATGATGGATATGATTCTCCTGTGTGCCCCCCTCAGTAGTACCAACCTGCATCGCTATGAAGTTCATCCCCTTGGCACCTTCAGCCACAGCTCTGGCCCTGAGTTTACCACCACAGTCAAGGTGAGATGATGAGGGCCTGGGGAGTGGGGCCTGGGGGAGCCCTGGCTCATCACGTGCCCGTCCAGGTGCAGAATTTGGGGTGCTACCCCATCCAGAATGTCACCTTGCACATGGCCCTGCCAGCACTGGGCCACCATCAGGCCACCATCTTGTCTGTCACCCATGTCCTCACTGAAAATGTGAGTACTGGGGATGCTTAGGGGGCCTCAGCGGGGGGTCCCTGTGCCCTCCCTTTGAACGCCCTCTCTCCCTCCCCAGGCCACCTGCATGCTGCAACTCCCTGATGAGAGGACACAGGTGGTCCCAGTGCCCCCTGAGGATCTGCTGCACATGGACAGGCTGGTAGGGATCACTGTGCCCACCCCCACCCCCCAGGAATTTGGAGGGTTCAGGGGGGGATCCCCACCACTCCCCCCCAAATTTTTTCCCCCCAGGACTGTTCCAACACCTGGTGCCAGGAGCTGAGCTGCCACTTGGAGAGGCTGGAGCGTGGTGGGGGGGTCTCCATCCAGCTCCTGCGGACCCTCCATGACAGCTTCTTCAGTGGAGTGAGTAAAGGGGGGGGCATGTGGGGAATTGGGGTGCCCCCACTTCAGGGAGGATCCCAAGTGGGGAGCACACGTGGCTCAGAACTCCCCTTTTCCCATATCCAGGTGAAATTCCGGAGTGTGAGGATAGTCAGCAGTGTCTGGCTGGGGGTCACAGGGGGCATGTTGGTGCTGGAGGAGGGGGTGCAGCGCAGGGAGGTAGGACCCCCTCCCCAGTTCCCCATTTCCCCCCCCCCTTTATCCTGGTTTCCCTCCCCAAATTCCCTATTCTCCATCAATGCCTGTTTTACCTCCAATCCCTGTTTCCCATCTAATCTTTGCTTTTCCTTACAAATTCCTTCTTTCCACCCAAGTCAAGTTTTCCTCCCCAAATTCCCTCTTCCTCCCCACCATCCTGGTTTTCTCCTCAAATTCTCCTTCCTCTTGACAATCCCTGTGTTCCTGCAGCTGGTGCTGGAAGTGCTCCAGGGAAGGCAGGTGCCCGTGTCTCTGTGGATCCTGGGAGGCAGTGCCCTGGGGGGACTCCTGCTCCTGGCACTACTCAGCCTTGGCCTCTGGAGGGTGAGGAGGGTGATGTTATCACCCTGGGGGAGGGTCACAATGCCACCTTGAGAGGGTCATGATGTCATCCCGAGGGGGAGGTATCAATCCCCCCCTCCCTCCTGAGGAAGGACATTTTCACCTCCCCAATTCCTCCTCTTTCCCCCTTGCCTGCAGCTGGGATTCTTCTCCCACCGGAAGCCCTCCCGAGAGGAGGAGGATGAGGAGCACTGAGATGGCAGCTCTGTCGGGAGGATGTCCCAGAACCTCCCTCCTGGGGACACATTCCAGAGCCATCCCAGGGCTGGGACTCCTGGGCTGGTGGAGGGATGAGCAAGCATGCGTGAGGGTGGAGCTGGAGGATCTGGGGGAACATCTAGAAGCGGGAAAAGTAGGAATGGAGCAGCTCCAGAAATAAAGCTCTGGCCTGCGGTTCTGCTGTGTCCTGCATCCCTGTGCATGCAGATGATGTGAGAGCACGGAAGTGGTTTGACTCAGGGAAAAGCCTCTGGACTGATCCCAAGTGCAACACAGAGAGGGATGGGGGAAATCTAAACCCCAGCCCCCACTGGCTCCAGACTTAAATCCAGGTTAAATCCAGGACCACAGAGAAGGAATTCCTGATTTCCAGCATGATGCGGAAGAGGGAAGAAGTGGAAGCAGAAAGTGAGTTGGTGTGACCCCCTCAGAAATCCCTATTAGGGAAGCTGGACAGGCTGGGTAACAGGAAAGCGCTGGGATTAACCCAGGATACTGCTGGATTTTACTGATCTCTGTGGCTCCACAGTCCTAGCTCCTGCCCCAGGACTGGGGTGTCCCTGTGTCGAGAATGGCTTCCAGCAGAGCAGGGAGGGAGGACAGGGACCATGTGTCCCAACAGAGTAAGAGGTGCTTGGATATCCTCCCTAGGAGCCAAATACTGCAAATCAGGGTTTTCCTTCCCCAAAAGTTTTTTCCAAGCTCATTTCTGCCCCCCACCCCCAGAGTACCCCAGCTCCTGCCTCCCTTTCCCAGCTCCAAGGATGACTTGGGGAGTTCATTGAGAAAGGCCTTTATTGGACGGAAGAGCAAAGAAAACCAGGAATTAAATCCATGTGGATGTGGAACCACTGAGCCCAAGGGGTTTGGGAATGTTCCCCCAACAAGGGATGGGGGTCACAATGTCCCCCGAGGGCAGTCAGTGGATACCACAAGTACAAGGATAGCTCCCAGGATTCAGACCTGGAAAAGAGTCACAGAAATGGGAAAAAATTCTCAAAACAACTGAATAATCAGCAAAAATAATGAGTTTCCTTAACTTATAGGGGAGGGCAGGGGCATTCCCAAGGGAGTGGTCCGTAATTCCTGCCTGGAATGACTTGTGGGGGCAGAGTGGGGTTTGGACACATCTGGGGCCACAGGCATGTGGAAAAGGGTCAGAAAAACCTGAATCAACCCCAAGAATATTTCAGGATGAGACAAAATCCTGCTCAGTACATTCCTGATACCACAGCATTCCCAGACCCCTTCCAGGACCACAGGGGCTCCTGAGGGTCCAACCTCCCTAAGGAAGGGCTGCAGACCCTTCCTTCTTCCACCTGCCATGATTTTATAGACGCCAAGGATTCCATCCAAAACAGGGCGATAAAATCTCTCGTGGATACAGTTCCAATCTCCCGGAGTGCAGGAAGATCCAAAAAATCCCCTTTTTATCCCAACCTTTTTCCAGAGAAGGCTATGAAGGACTTGGAACCCCTCTCTGGACTGGGCCCCACTGGAAAAAAACCTTTTCTGATACAAAATGAAATCAAATCACTCCCAAAATTCCCAATTTAGGACTAACGCGGCAATTCCATGGAGCAGAAGGATAAATTCCTGGGAGAAGAGCGCTTGGTGCTGTAATCCCACAGGGTGAGCCCCCTAATTCCTGCTACTTGGGGGGGTTTGTTGGAATTCTCAGACAATGTACACCTCGAGCGGAGATGCTCCGGCCTCCAGAACCCTCTGGAGCACTCCAGAACCTTTCAAAAGGGTCAGAAAGTCCATCGCTCCTGCACAGGGCTGTCGGAAGCATCAGGATTCGGCATTTGCCGGGTGGAATCTTCACCCTTTAGGCTCTTCCTGCAGACGGGACATGTATCGTGCTGTGGGGAACATAGAGCCGTTATCCTGGGGGATTATCCTGTGGGATACATGGGTTTTCTGGGATCTTACCAGCTCCAGCCAGGGCACGATGCAGCTGCTGTGGAAGATGTGGTTGCAGGGGAGCTGCCGGACCTGCTCCGCCACGGCATAATCCTCCTTGCACACCGGGCATTCCAGCCCTGTGTCTGCAGAAAACAGGTAATGGCAGGTTAGGGGAACAGGAATGAAGGCTCTGGTATTTGGGAGTCACTTGAGTAGGGTCTACTGGGAATGGGGTGTCCAGGCACCAAAAGGATCCCACCAGGAACAGGAGCTCTGGGATTTACAAGTCATTTATGTCTGCTGGAGATGAAAACATCCAGGGATAAAAGAATTCCTGCCAGAAACAAGCCAGGATCCATCCATCCATACAAAATCCTCTGGGGATGGAGCACGCAGGGATCAATGAAATCCCACTAGACACATAAGCATCAGGATCTGCAAGCTAGGATACAATCCACAGGGGATGGAGCATCATGGGAATGAAGAATTCCTGCTGGGAACATGAGCTCTGAGCTCCACCAGCTGGGATCCACCCATCCACACACAACTCCCAGGGAGTATAAGGAATTCCTGATATTCTCTCTACATCACCATCAACAAACAAAAATCAAAGTCGGGATGTTTGGATGCCCACCACAACTTCCCAGCCAGGAATATGGCTTGATGATCCCCAAGCTGTGTGTCACCAGCTATGGGAGGTGGCTGAAATCTCACTCCCTCTCCCCCTGTTCCAAGCTCGTGATGCTGACATGGACATCGCCAGGAGCTGAGCTCCTTCAGCAATCCCAGGTTTCCTTTCCAACTTGGATATTCCAAGATTTCATGATTCCTAGCCTTTTTGGGCCCTGTGGGCTCAGACACATGGAATTTCAGCTAGTCCTTGGCTTCCCAGAGAAGAGGAGGACAGAGGGATATGTAAAACCACGGGCTAAAAATATCCTGCATAGAACTGTCTAGTTTAACCACAATGGAGGAGTAGGGTTCTCGTAACTGAGCAGCTGGGAGGGGGAGGGATCCTCGGGGTGAAAAATTCATGGGATTTTTTAATTGCAAAGCCTGGATTGTTCCGAGACACGCCCAGACCCCTGCTGGCAGTTTTCCATGACATTTCCAGAGCAGAATATGTCAAGAGCCATCCTGAAAAGGAAGAAGGGATGAGTCGAGAGCACAAACAGGGATCTGGGATAGGAAAACCATTGTGGGATGAGAAGAGTCAGAACAGCATATTCTAGGACTCTCCATGCACTCTGGAGAACGGTGGAGCTCCAAGATTCCCAGGAGAAATGAACACCAGAGATGGCAGCAGCAAAGCTTGGGAGCTGGTAGTTTCCAGCCCAATTCCACAGGGAACAAAGCGGTAATGGGGGAGCTCAGGATGTCAAACACCCCGATGCCAACACAAATGCCATCGGATTCAGGGATGGAGTCACCCACCGACTTGTTCCTGCGTCACTGGCACTGTTGGGAGTGACGAGATCTTCTCCTTGTCTGCTGGCGGTGGTCCTGTGTTTTCCAGCTGTCCCAGGAGCTGTAGAGAGGGAAAAATTCTGTGCTCAGGAGCAGGGATCTGTGATGGGGTCTGACCCTGGCACAGGTGCCCCTCACCTGGGTGACGATGGCGTCAAGGCCGCTCTGTCCCCATGCATAATCCCCAGGATTGGAGTGCAGCATCCCGCTCCTGCCAACGGGAGAGTCCAGGAATTCCCTCCAATCCCAAACCAGCCCTAGATGCTGGGTTACTGGTAATTACTGGTGGGATCTGAGCTACTCACCAGGAAAAAGGATGTTGGGAGCCAGGAACAGCTGAGTTGGCAAAAAACCCAGCAAAGATCTGCTGGATTATCCTGAAAAAGGAGGCATGGGAAGGAGAAACATGGGAAGAACAAGTTAAGTAAGTAAATAAATGGTGGAAGAAAGGATGGGCAGGAAAACCAGGAGTTCCTGCTCTTTGGATGCCTGGCTGCATGGCTCATGACTGAAAATCCCTGGATAAAGCTCCAAAACAGAGAGAGACAGCAGCAAGTAATTAGGGATACGAGCTCATCCCAGGGTGGGAGAAGTGGGAATGACTCGAGTTCCAATGGAAGAGTTGGTACTGGGACATGGAAAACCAAGGAAAAACATGGAAATAACAAGCTAAATAAATAAATAGTGGCAGAAGGAATAGGCAGTAAAACGGAATCCTTTCCCCATGGATACAGGGCTCACAGCTGAAAATTTCCTGGATAAACCTCCCAAATGGAGGGAGAGCACAAAGGAATTAGGGATGAGAACTCATCCTGGGATGTGAGTGCTGAGAATGCCCTGTGTTCCAGGCAGCAGGACATGGAAAATGAACCAGAATTGTGCCAAGGGTGCTGACAGAAAGTCATTTTCGCACGTTTCTCCCCAAAATCTCACCCCTCAATGGCAGGCGAGCGATCCGGTCGGGAGCTGCCACGGGATCGGTACCTCCGAGGCATCGGCAGCCGTGGGGGGCGACTGGGGCCCCAGAGTTCGGCTGGGGGGCCCCTCTCCATGTCCCGGCTCTCTGGATCCAGGGAGCCGTTGTTCAGGAATGGCCGGAAATCCGGGAAGAACACTGTGTGGTCCAAGTGGTCCCAAAGCTGCGGAGAAGGGGAAGACAGGAGACACGATCCCCACTTAGCTCTGGCGCTCATCCTGCGGGACACGGAGGCAGCGGAGTCCACTTCACTGGAGCACATTCCAATAGCTGTCGTGTATCCCGGGGAAAAGTCTGACAGAAAGGCTTAATTATAGCCCAAGTGGATCCAGATCTAATGCAACAACCTCAGTGCAACTCCCCACTCCGCACAGACCCCAGTAAATCTGGAAGCTGTGGGGTTGGTCTCTCCCTCTCTTCAATGGCTGGAATTTGAGGAGGAATACTCCCAAATCCATGGGATCACTCAAAACTCTCAGGAAAAGGAGCTGCCGGGGAAGATGCTACAGGAAAAGAAGGAAAGCTCACCTCTGCGAACTGTGAGGAGGGGCTGTCGTCCAGGGCATTGCCATCGAAAAAACTGGGAAAAAGAGGAGAGTGAGGGCAGGACCCATTCCCAGAATCCCCCCATGCTTCCCAAATCCTCCTTTTGTTTCCTGAAATTCCCTCAAAAGGGGTAAAAATAAAAAAGGACCAAAAAGGGTAAAAAAAAAAAAAAAAAAAAAAAAAAAAAGAAAAAAAAAAACCCAAACACCAAAAATAGTGAAATTGTCTCTCCACGTGCCTGG